AATAAGAAACACAGCGAATCTGAGGACTTACCTTATGTGTATTGAATACGTAAGCTTCACAAAATTTCGTGCACACAACGGTACATTGCCGGCTTATCTGCATGTTCTACAAAGAAATTGTCCACTAGATTGACAAAATGTCTGTCCGCAGTGAAAGAGGGTCTTCAGAAATACTTCGAAACTGTTTACTCGCGTAACCATATGTGGTTTCTAAAAAACTCTAAAGATATGCTGGATAATTTTAAATCTCGATTTTTCACTGAAATAAATTCTATCGAAACTTTTTGTTTTTTTTCAACCCTGTATACTACCAATTCCCATGTGAAATTGGAAAATCGTCTAAAAGAAATAACACGCAGTGCTTTTCAATATAAAAATGGTAGCATACGGTATAAATGTATTGATTTTGAACACCATACGGCACATTTTGTTTATAGTGAAAAAAAAGGAAAACATGCTACACAGAGGACCTTTTCAAAAAATTGTCGGCATTCCTATGGGTATGAACAGTGCGCCTCTCCTTGCCGGCCTTTTTTTCTTATTTGCATATGAGTCGAAGTTTCATCAGACACTTACAGATGGGTGCAGTCCTAACCTGTACAGCAAGTTAACTTGCTAAGCAGACATTTTGACTGGTAAAAGTTAACCTGCGGCAGGATTTATGACTACTCTGACCAATCATAGGACCACAATCAATTTAACTCGAAAAGCGGACTTGGTCCTAGGACTGTTTTTATGACTGCCGAAAAAGTTAACTTTGATACAGGTCCGCTACCATTATAAGTTAACTTCGACACCAGTCCTGCAATAAGTTAACTTTAATTTTGACAACTCCGATCAAATCAGACCTGATCTCAAGTTAACTTTTGGCTGGTCTGCTTAACACCGAATTAACTTGTAACCAGGACCGCTCTACATGCATTCATTAAATATTTTTAAATGTCTTTGTTTCTTGATATAAACAATACAGACTAAATATATTTGTGAATAAAGTAGTACGCATAAAATATTTCTTTGTTATATGCATTTCTCCGTTATCTGCCTTTTTTTATAAATTGAAAACGATATTGTTTACACCATGTACATTGCTAATGTGCGTTGAACATATATTTCAATAAGTATGCAATTCTTGAAGTCGTATGTACATGTATTCTATATAAAATGTTTACGTTCTGATCTGTTTTAAAATGTAGCCTAATTATTCTTAAAAATTTGGTTATCAGATAAAATCAATAAACAATGACAATAATGCATAGTACATAAATTGTATAAAAATAATCATGATAAATGAAAGCAATATTAGTGTACAGTTACTAATATATATCATGTTAATGGTCGGCTATAATTCAGAGTGACATCGTTACTACTGTTTCTTTTTCTGCATCAATTAACTGTGCCAGCATGTCCTCATTTTATTCAAATAATTAAATCATCACAAAAAATCAGCAGTTTTCATATCTCAGACTGGCTCGCTTAACTATATTATTTGACCGCATCAACCAAAACTGACCATATTTGCACTTTATTATGTAAATGTATGTAGCCGCATGATAAATCAGTAATTTTATTTTTTTTAATGTCAGGATGTATTGTATGATACAAATGACTGTAATATTGGAACACAATGACTACAACATTTTGTCTGCATCAATTGAGAGTACCAGCATGTCCTCTTGTTATTCAAAATAATGAGGCGTTCAACTAATTCAGTAGTTTGGATACCTCAGGCTGGCTTGTATAACAAAAACATTTGACCGCATCAACTATATTTGCACTTTATTATGTAAATTTATATGGCCACATAATAAATCAGTTATTTTGTTTATGTCAGGATGGATTGTATAATACAAATGACAGCAATATTGGAACACAATGACTACACAATTTTATCTGCATCTATTTAGAGTGCCAGCATGTCCTCTTTTATTCAAATTAATGATGCGTCACAAAAAATCAGTAGTATTTATATATCTCAACATGCTCAAGCTGGCTTGTACATGTTGTATAACAAAACTATTTGACTGCATCATCCAACAATGACATGACTGATTATGTTTGTACTTTATGATGAAAGGTATGAGACCGTATCATCTGGGGATAGTGTAGTCTAGTATATAATGCCGTTTGATTGATTTTTTTGGTAGATAAACGTCCAGGGGCAAATATTTCATTCATGTTCAGGATGAGTTTATTTTTTCAGACGTCCCAGGCATCATTTATAACCGGTAAAGACGAATCTGCCGAAATTGACGATATAGTTTTTAACCACACAACACACTTAGTATACATTCGGACACTATACAATTTTCGATTGAACATTTTGTCAAAAATTGAATCGTAAAAACAAGGAAAACAACAACAAGACGAATTACGATGGAAACTCCATGTATTAAATGCATATAATTATATTTAGAAAGAGACAGTAAGAAATGGGGAACGAAGCAACGTCAACAATGATGTTTATATCCCATCATATAAAAATAGTTTTCCAATGCGTTGGATAACCTTTCTATCTGCCTTCCAATTGAAAAAAAACCTTTCATTTCCTTATGATAGCTGCATGTATATATTTTGATCAACAAGTTTGAAATTTTATAGCCTTTATTTAATGTATATAAGAATAAAAAATGAAAAAAGAAATTTTTAATGTGTATAATATGTATGTATACAGAGTCACTAACGAGTATAGTAATTTGCTATACTGAGGGAAAAGAACAATACGATAATTGTTTGAATGATAAAAGCTCAGAGTTAACACGAAAAGTCTTAAACACGGCGATTTGTCATAAGCAGACCAGTCTTGAGGTCTGGTCAGTAGCAGACCTGTCCCCAGGTCGGGTCTGGGGCGGACCTATCCACAGGACTGGTCAATAGCAGACTTGTCCACAGGTCTAGTCTGGAGCAGACTTGTCAACAGGTCTGCAGCAGTCCTAAAAAAGCAGATCTAGGTCTAGTCTACCACCGACGAAGTTAACTTCCTTGTCTGCTTAAAATTTCTTAAGTTGGAAAGCAGTCATAAAGTCTACTCCAAGTTAATTTTTGTACAGGTAAGGACTGCACGCATCTGTATCAAAGAACAAGAAAATTAAAGAAGCCAGATCATTTAATTTCATATTCAGATATATTGATTATGTTGCTCTTTTTCTGATTGGGTTACATTAATATATCATAAAACTAGAAATTAAAGAAATAGCAGACACGGCTTGTTTCGCCTCATTTTTAAACTTACATGTATACCTCGAATTTAACATAAGTGTTCGTCGCAGTACAGTACCAGAATCTACTACAAATGAGATGATTTTAATTTTGAAATTATATATCCCCCCCCCCCTTTAGCAGCAACAAACTAACGTCACCTGCAAATGGGATATACATTTCCCAACTCATTCGGTATTCAGGAGCTTGCAGCCGCTACTCAGACTTTATTAAAACGTCACCAGTGTCTAGCAAGAAAATTGATTAACCAATGTTATGTCAAAGAACGCCTCGTCATTTTTTAAAAAGCTCATTTGAATATACATAGGCTTTGTTGATAAATATTCCGTATCAATTTCACAAATAATACATGACGGTCTTTATTCTAGATTCTAGGTTCTGACGTTTTTCATCATCTTTGATTACGTGTTATAGTGTTCTTTTTATTTGTTTTTGTAATTTTTTTACCTTTACTGTTTAGTCCAATTTTGTTGTTATCAAATAGTCCGTTTTTATGTATGTTGGCGTTTGTTTTGTTAAAGTTCAATGTTTTTGTTGTTTTCCTCTTATAGTTGATGTGTTTCCCACGGTTTTAGTTTGCAACCCATATTTGTTTCGCTTAATTGATTTATGACCATTGGACTGCAGTATACTACTGTTGCCTTTATTTGGTATATTCTTTTTGCGGGGTTAATTATTTATACATCTCGGCATTGTGTTATTGTGATAAGGACATTTTTGTATACTAAGTACTTGTCTTTCATTTTTGCTTATGTACTTCCATTTTCTTTTTTTACAAATACCCAATTATTTGAGCAGCGATTTATTGGATTTTATTTTACTTGAACCAAACTAGTCAGAGACCACAATTAAACCCTTCTTAAATATTGTTGTCACAAATTTAGTTCCTTAAATTAAAGTGTATTTTTACTCCTCTCTGTCTTTTCTTTGAACATTTACTATTTTTGTGTATGCAATGAATGAAAAGTCCTACAATATCCTGTCTGATATATTATTTTGAACATAAGTGAGTAAGCTGGTCAGGCTAAAAGTATGTGATTTCTTCTCCTCGGAGGCTCATGGGCTTCACCAATACAAGAAGTGTTATGTTTGTTGTTGCTATGAGAGAATGGGTTAGTAGACTTTGTATATTTTTTATATGTTTTGGCGAAACATTTAACCTTCATGTACACAAAATCCTGTCAGATGCAGGTGCTTTTTTTATAAAATTATTATGGTCTCGGGCCACTTGATGCATAACCTATAACCGTAAAAAATTAAGTTGTATTGTAATATACAGTATGTTATTTAAATAGTTTATAGGTTATGCATATGGTTGTTTTAGATTACGTTTTAAGATGCATTAGTTATATTTGAACACAACTTTTTTAATATCAGATGGTTATAAAAGAGGCAAGATCAGATGTATTTGTATATATTTAATTCTCTAGTTACATTTACTAGTGTCAGTTACTGCAATGTAAAAACAAAACAGTTCAGTTTTAAAACTACATGTTTAGTGTCCAATTTATTATTTTTCGAAAGTAAAACCACATACATGTTTATTTGGACATCTTAAATGCGATGGGCAGAGCATGGTTTACGTACACAAGCAGTTAACTTAGTATCAATTACAATTTAAGAAAAATTGAAATTTACAAAAAAAGGTTAACGTTAACATTGTTAACGTCGCATATTGTTAACTAGCGATATCTAGTATTTCATATTCCAAATAGTTCTATAAATTCGGTCATTTCTTACCATTTTTATAAATACGATGACAGTTGTAACTTTTTTTATTTCAGTTCGAAGGTGACACTCCTTTACATGTTGCAGTTGACTGTGTACATTCGGAAATAGTCCGGTTGTTACTAGAAAGAGAAGATATAGATCCAAACAAAGGAAATAGGGTGAGGATGAAGTTTTTACCTGAATTGTTAACCTGTGTTATGTTTGTTAAATCGGCCTTCGAAAACCAACAATATCAATGTAAACACAATGTTGCTTACATTTGTACACACCTTCGAAATACACTTACATATTCGTTCTTTAAATCGAGCTTCACTGATGAGTGTTTTGTATAGAAAACGCGCCTGTGGCGTTCAGGAGTACAAATGTATAAGCTTAGTACCTTTTATGAGTTTTTTGGCACATGTATTCATGCTTTGAAACGCAAACTATTACATTTTAGATTTTTGTCAGAAAATCTGTCTGTGCCAATAATCAAGTACCCTGTATAAGCCGTTTAAATAAATATTACCTAATTTACTATACAAAGCTGAGAATCTGACATAAGTATAAATGATTCAAGTGGTCTCAGTGGGTGAGAGGCAGCGTGCTCACTTCGAATGCAGAAGGTTTTAGAATCGATCCCCGACCGAGTAAATCTTAAAATTGGTGTAAATTTGCACAAATGTACGTATTGTTTCATTTCGAAAACATGAACTTCCAATATATCATTATTTGCTATTTTTATTAATTTGCTGTTTGCATTTATACTTGTTTTTCTAATTTAAATTGGATATTCCCCAAGTGGTCAGATAAGCCATGCACATGTTTACGAATAAAGGTATCTGAATCAAAATTTCCTTTACTTACACGTTTGCCTTAGTACATGTAACTTTCTACAACAGAAATTACGTATACATCATTTAATTTATGACCGAACTTTGACTGTGCACTTGTACAACTTTGTGTTGTCTTAGCCAAACTAAGTGCTGGAGATGTAATATCACAGGAGGCCGATTTCATGCTTAATGTTTGATAAAACGCAAGAACATGGCAAGTAGGCAGAATAAAAAACTCAGAAAAAAGCCAGGAATATGTTGTCCATGGAATTGTGCTCTCCGAAATAATAAAATACATAGACGGCACACTGTCTAAAACAAATATTGTGCCAATCTTCAAGCTTCCCGGATCACGCTATATCATACAGTAAACGCATAAACCAACTTGGAGTTGTCATGGAAGGAAGGATTGATACAACGCATTAAAAAAAAATAGAATGTATCTGCCATAGCAGATCTGCAAGCATCCAAGCAAAGTAGATTATTTCCTGATTTTCAACGAAGGTGTTCGTGAAGCTCTGAAACAGGTCACATCTTAAAAGCGTGAAAATGAAAGCAGCATCATAGCCAAAGCAGGCAAAATAGTTTGGAGAGATGTGCTTGATACTAAGAATAGCTTACAGGTACAATCAATAACAGCTGTCAACATGAATCTGTTCCTAATACATTAGTTTTCTTTTGTAAGAATGATACTAGGTCGGCCAAACATCGAGACAAAGTCCAGTAATATCGTTGAATCGCAGACAGCACGTACCAATTCTCAGCTATAACAGTTCAATTGTGCAACTTGTCGTCGAAAGGATACAACAACTGCAACGTATCAGTCTTCAGATAGAGAGCCACGTGTTTCAATGTTTGTGGAACTGATTCATTTTGAAAGCCTTCATTGAATGTCCCTGTAAATCTTTTCTTAGTTGCAAGCATATCTCTCCAAACTATTCTAGATACTTTGGCTATGATGAGGCCTTCATCTTCACAACTATAAGACATGGCCTGTTTCAGAACGTCTCCAACATATTCGTTGAAAATCAGGTGAAAGACGCTACCTTTCAGGTGTGCTTGCATATCTGCTATGGCAGTTAGTATCCAATTTTTCAGATTCGTTGTTTAAAGCATTCCTTCCATGACAACTCCAAATTACTCAAGGCGTTAACTGTACAATTTATAGATATCAGCAAGCTCTAAGATTTGACCAATATATGTTCCAGACTATGACCCGTCGATGTATTCTATCCATTTGTCAAGCACAAGTGCATAGATAACAAATACCTGACTTTCTTTCTGTGTCTTTGGATTCTGTCTTATTGCCTTGTTGTGTAGTTTTAACAAACATTTAGCATGATATCGGCTCCTGTGATGTTTAATCTCCAGCACTGAGTTTGGCTCTCTATTGTCAATTTTTCATTTTTAAACGGTTATGTACCTTTGACCCCTTCTTACATACTACTGGTAAATTATTCTGTCATCACTGTCCAAGGTTAAAGGGAGGATAGAGCGCTTAGAAACATGTTTGACTCACCACATTGTTTATGTTCCTGTAACAAGTCAGGAGCCTGTAAATCAGTGATTGTCTTTGTTTCCTGTATGTCATATTCGTTTATCGTAAATTGTACTGTATGCAATATGTCGTTAGTTGTCTCGTTAATTCACATTTGTCATATGGGGGTCGTTTATTGCTGACTACTAGTATACGGTATCGGTTTTTCACATTGCCATACGGTAACCTATCATTGCTTTAATTTTTGTCATTTGAACTCTGGTGGATAGTTGTCTTATTGACAATAATCCCGAGTCTTCATATTTGTATATATAAGTAAGGCTTGTCCAATATCTCAGGCAGTTGGCAAACAACATAATGCAATTCAATATATACAGTACTATTCTGATACCTGCCGTCAATTAATTATATATTCTATTCTAAAATGTAAAATTGCCTTTATCCGAGTTTACAGAACAGCAGATTCTTTATCATTTAAACAAAGATTCTATGGTAATTAGTTGTCATCATTCAAAATGATCAGAGACCAATTGTCGCAAAAGTATAGTGCACTTAAAGTGCAATGATTTTTTTCTTCTTCTTTTTTGCCCTCGCGTTAAATGCTCACTATTTGTTTGTATGCAATGAAAGAGAAGACCTCCAATTTATGTCTAAAAGATTATTCTATTACCCAAAATGGAAAAATTTGTCAAGAGACAATTGCATAATTTCTTCTCTGCGGTAGCCTTTTGTCTTTATCAGTACCAATTGACTTATGTTTGATGTTGCCATAAAAGAAATAACTAGTATATAAATAATACATAACTGAGAGGGTGATAGAGCAGTCTGCTACCCCGAGAAAACATTGTCAACTGAGGCGAATCCAAGGTTGACAATGTCTTTTCGACAGTAACAATCTGCTCACCCTCATAGATATGTGTTATTTAATTTATTATACTGAATATTCTGCTGTTATTGTCAATTTAATATGTAACTCAAAGTAATGAACTATGTCGTCTTTTACCTAATAATCGTCCTTATTTATTAAAGCGCACACTTGAGAAAGCGTCTCTGTGAAGGGCAATAGAGTGTTTGCCATGAAACAGAGTAAATTGTCTCCCTCGTATTAACCAACCAAATCTGGCATTTTGACATGAAGTATAATCATATACTTTACCATTCTTGTATTTGTTTTGTCATGACTATTAAATTTTATGTATACGACATGTCGTCAGAAGCCAGGTTGTTTTTTATAATATGATTATGGTCTCTAACCATTTGATTTATTATTACGAAATATTTGAAGAAGTGTCATGATATCGTTCTATATACAGAGATATTTTTGTTTAATTATAAAATTAAAAGGCACATGGCCGTTCCGTAACTTTTAAAGATGCATTTGCTATATCTGAAAAAAAAAAGAATGATTAGATAAAACTGTATTCAGCTTTTTCGATATATTTTCTATTGTCAGTTACTCCAATGCTAACAATATCTTATGATGGGCAGATTAAATTATTCCAGTTAGTCATTACACTGACGTGTTGCTACCGTTTGAAGTTGTGTATTGCTCGATCAAGTCTTTATTTAAATACTTATTTACTTCTTTGAGAAATTAACTGTAGTAGTAAGCATGCATAAGATAATGGGTAATGTTTTATTTGCCTTACTTAAAATGAACTACACAAACCCTGCAAAAATATTGGATGAAAAGTTATCCCTGTAAAAGATACGTCGTTGTTATGTTATATTTAGACGACAATAGTTTGCTGATATACCCTCAATTTTATAATGCATTTATACATGTTTGTACTATTGATAATGATTAGTTAAAATGTGTTCTACAAGGATCACCCGTTCTTCACTTTTCGATTGATAAATGTACCTAAATTACAAGAATATATTCTAGTGTATAGAATGATATTTACACCTATGCGTAGAAACTGTTTTGTTTTAAATATGTACTATTTTCCAGTATGTTCTTTTTCAACCGGGTCCTATTTGGTGGTGCAACATCCTATAAAGTCTAACCAAATTATTTTTGCGAAGAATTCGGCTTAAGCCGGTGCGAGGGGCCGTCTTAAATTTTAAACCGTTTTAGAAGGCCTCACTGTGACTTTGAGATGAAGAACAGCAATAAAATCGCCGTTCCTTTGCTTTTTGTGTGTGTGTGTGTGTGTGTGTTTTTCTGGGCATATACTGATTTTGTGTTATGGATGAATACAACATGTACAACATATCCTTTGTTTTTATATCATGTCCTAATCTCGAAAATCGATTAGATATACCTTTTTTGAAGGGTTACACGCAACTTGTGGCAAACGTAAGCTTGTCATACATTGCTAATGTATAACATAAATCAAGTCATTAATTTTCAGACCCTTAAATATGATAATAGAAGTAAATACTATGAATAGCTCTGTTTCAGAAACAAAAGTGAGTAAAATTACCAGTATTGGTTACTGTAATTACTAAATGATCATAACAAATACTAAAATTCTATTTTGTTCATTTGTTGTTTTTTTTTCTAATTGATCACAATTCAAGTTAATGCAAATGCTAAAATCTTTTAAAACAAACGTTCACTAGCAAATGACGTTCCTACACGAATGACAATAAAATAAAGCAGACCAATAACCAAAAATTGAAAAAAGTTATCCCCATCAAGCGGTAGCATGAATGTTTGAAACCATATTGACTACAAAATGACGTTCTGACGCAATGGACTCAAACACTCTGACATTAACACACGCTTATGAATACTTTAGGAGTACAAAGCCCTTTTCTGGATTTACCTTCATCATAAACGTTCAAACCCCAAAATCTAAAAGATAGGAAGGGATGAATACCTGATTAAGTG